CAGGTTTCAGTGCTGTGTGCCCTATTCTGAGATCGTCTTGTGTCCTAGTAAGACAGTGAGGCCCTTTTCATCCTGACTGGCTAAGGCACAACATTTGGAGTTTCTCAGTTCCCCTGATTGTTTTCACACTGCCGATTTTATTTTACCCTACACTGGGGGTTGAACCCAGGGCCTTGACTATTCTAGGCAAGTGCTTTGCCAGTAAGCTACATCCTTAACCCTGCTGATGTGATTTATGAAGTTCACTGCCATCAATGTCTGTACAATTCCCTTGCTGTAGGACTTAGTGTTGTTCTACTTCTCATCTCAGTTGAAAAGTCCTCTGAAAAACTAAAATAATGTTACCCCCCCAATTGCTGTGTATCATAACCCTCACTTCTACTCACATGATGGCGTCCCCTTACTTCCTTTCCCTTCATAATGTCCTTCATGCCTTGAATATTCTTCTCCTCTGTCCTACTAGGTCATGTCCCCATGTGGCCCTTGAGACTGTTTCCAAATAATTGTTCCCACATGTAGTTATCTTTAGTTCTAGACAATTAGCACTTAATCATTCCTGCTTCATGCGTGTTAGACCCTAGACTTCGTGATAAGTGGGAATATAGTCCTTCACAGCATGTTATCTATGGCTGTAAGCACTTAAGTATTTGTTTACTAGCTGTGTAATGTATCTGATGTGCACAGTTGTTGGATTTTATTAGTTAATAACCTGTTTACCACTGGTCTGTCATTTCAGTTACAAAGCAGTGTTAACATAGTTGTCCAAAAGTGAGTATTATAACTATTTTCATTTACATTGCCCTTAAGAGTATCCTAGTAAGCAACTTTGGTGACTGAACTATGAAAAGCTTTTCTTATATTCATCCACAAAATATTCTAATGGGATTCTCATTCATATTTTCTAAAAAATTCTGTATTATATAATTATAATGTCTACTTTATGGTTGGGGAGATAGCTCAGTGGTCTAAGCGCCTGCCTGACTAGCCCAAGTACCTGAGTTCGATCCCTGGTACTGTGTGTGGTACTTAAATAAGATTTTAAAAGAATTCTAATGTCTAGTTTATTAAACAGCCTAAAGCATCTTGTTTGAATTATAAATTTGGTATATTTTAATCCTAGTAAGAAGTTTAAATCACTTCTGCTAACTTCAGTGTACATTCTGTATTGGAAATTGGTGATTAAGAGATGTAAAACTTAATTTTATGTGCATTACTGTCTTACGTTCTTATTTTGCCAAAGGGACCCTTACCAATGTTTAACTAATTCATTCCATTGCGCATTGTAAGAAGACAAATTTGTGTCCAAGGAGGCCGTAACGTTTGGTTAAGTCATCATCCTTCTTCTGAAGGCACCCATCATATCTGGTGATTAAAACAATGAGACTGTGGCCTTGCATTGTTTCCAGCAGTACCGTGAGCTATTGCTTGGTGGAATCATGCTGTTTTACAAGTATGTTTCAGAAGTTAGGTAGCAATTGTGACCTCCTTTGGTACCCATATAAACTTTTTTTTGTTTGTTTTTAGATGAGGTCTTGCTATGTAGTTCAGATTGGCCTGGAATTTACTATCTAACCCATTCTGGTTTCAAGCTCTCAGGCTGCCTGAGCCTTCCAAGTGTTGAGATTACAGATTTGTTCCACCATACCTGGCTCCCCATTTACATTTACTGCTTTAATTTAGGTTACTAAAAAACAATACAGAACCATATGTGTTTGTTGACTCTGTGTATCTAAAAAGTACTGTGTTCTCTGATAATATTATAAGTGGGGTAGCTAATTTTTATCAAAAGTCAAGAATAGTTATTTGGGGACTGGGGAGGTAGCTCAGTGATGTAAGTACCTGCCTGGCAAGTGTAAGGACTGGGGTACAGAAACTTAGTGTGTTGGCGCACTCCTGTAATCCCAAGCACTGGGGAGGCTGAGACAGGAGGATCACTACAAGTCTGAACTGTGTAGTGAGACCCTGTACCAAATAGATAGATAGATAGATAGATAGATAGATAGATAGATTTTTTAAAAACAATAGTTATTTGATTTTGACAGTTAACAATTTCTGTGTGAAAATGTTATCAGATTTTACATACTGGACTCTTTGTAACATGGACAATGGTATTAATTTCATAAAGTCTCTTTGTGAGTCCATGAATTAGTGAGATTCATTAGAAAGCTAGACAACTCAAGAAAACACAGTATTGGTGAAAGAACAGACACAAATCAGTGGAATCCAGAAATAGGTTCACACATAAATTGAGCATGATTTCTTTGACAAAGGAAGGAAGACAATTAATATAGAAATGATAACTATTTTTACCGTAGTGGTAGAAAAATTGGACATCTAAAAACAACCAAAAAAGGAAATTTGGTGTTGTGCTGGCCAAGACCCCGCCCCCAGGGCGCACTGAGATGGCAACTGATACTAGACATGGTGGCGCGCGCCTGTAATCCCAGCGCTTAGGAGGCTGAAAGCAGGAGACTCACTGTGAGACCGATCTAAGTAGTGAGAGCTTGTAGACCCTGTATTAAATACAGGAAAAAAAAAAAAAAAAAAGGAAATCTGTTATATCTATCTTAAAAATAGCAAACAGCTCATCTCAGCCAATCATCACATATGCAAAAATGAAGTAAAAATAAATGGCCATTATTCTTCCCTTGTTTCCTCAAAAGTGTGTTGGAATTTCTAGCAATTTGCAATAAAAGAAATAGAAGTCATTCACATTAAAAGGAAGAAGTAAAGCTATCTGTTTTTGAAGGTGACATAATCTCATGTAGAAAATCCAGTGAAACCCATATGAAGTCAGTAGAGCCAAGAAAAAAGTTCAGCACAGTTACAGGATGTAACATCAGTTTACAAAATTTATCTGTATTTCCAAACCCCAGTAGTTAATAATCTGAAATTAAGAAAATAATTGCATTTCTGTGTTGCATTAAAAAGTATAAGATTTTTAGTAAAAAATTAATTGAAGAATCTGAGTATGGTGGTGCAAGCCTACAGTCTTGAGATACTTAGGAAGCTGAGGCAGGGGATTGCTTCAACCATTAGAGTTCACTGCCAGTCTAGGCAACATGTAACTTTGTAGCTTATAAAAGAGAAGTTCAAAGTTTGTGACCTGAAAAATACAAACCAACCAAGTTAAAGGGTGCTTAAGAAAATGGAAAGCAATCCCAAATTCTTGGATTAGAAGACTTAATACTGTTTTTTTTTTATTAGTAGATGTTTGCAGTACCTAATGATTACAGTTATCATGGGGAGTTGGTACATATATATAGAACACCGAATCCTTATTTTCTTCTTCTTCTTCTTTTTTTTAATCTTCTACCCTACTTGACCTTCCCTTTTCCTTCCAAGTCTTGGGCCCTTTCCTATTTGTAAAAGGTCTATTTTTATAATTTTTCCCCTTCAGTTGTTTTTTTTTCTGCCCTCCTCTCTCTGCTCTCCTTCTATGTCTTATTTCCCATCAATTTGAAAAAGATGAGCTTCCTATTTATCATCTGCTCTCTCTCTCTCTCTCTCTCTCTCTCTCTCTCTCTCTCTCTCTCTCTCGTCATATATCATTATATATATGTTGCATACCTAATGATACACACACACATTTTTCTCATAGAGAAACCATGTAAGCTTGTGTGTGTCTGACTTATTTCACCTCGTATAATATTCTCAGTATAATATGGTGCATTCATTTACCATGGAATACTTCAAGTTTATCTTTCTTTATGGAAGAATAATACTCCATTGTGTGTAAATACTACATTTTCTTTATCCATCAGTTGTTGAGCACATAGGTCATTTCTGAGTTTTAGCTGATATACATTGTGCTGTTATTATTATTATTATTATTATTATTTATTTATTTTTTAGGACAGGGTCTACAATGTCTACAGGGTCTCACTGCGTAGATAGGACTTGTAGTGATCCTCCTGTTTACAGCCTCCCAAGTGCTGGGATTACAGGCGTGCGCCACGATGCCCAGTCTTAATCGCTGGTCTCAGCACATCCTGGAGTGAGGGCTGGCACGGCAGGCCCAGGGATCAAACTCTGGCCCCTGTGCCTGATTGCAGACGCTTTAATCCGCTGAGCTATTTGGTTGGCCCCTACATTGTCCTGTTATAAATATGGATTGGCATGTATCCCTGTAAAATCGGAAGACTTAATATTGTTAAAATTACCATAGTGCAATAGTTGCCCGAGAATATTTCAAAGACCCAGGTTGTCGCCAGAGCAGTGCTTAAGTCTTTTATACAAAGCAGTGCAGCGTCTGCATATAATCTCATAAACTTAAGCTCATTTGTGGATTACTTAGAAGACCTAATATAATGTAAATGCGATGTAAGATGTTGTTATACTTTATAATTTAGGGACTAATGACAAGAATGAGGGGTGTGCCGTATAGGTGTAGCCACTATAAGTCTATGAATGAAGTAGATGCCTAACAGTATTCAAACAATGCTGGTGAGAAGCTGAGGCTCTATAGAATTGTAGGAGGCTATACCAGGATGTGCCTACGCATCGCTTCACATAGGTTCAGAGTAGTGCTCAGTATATGGCAAATTCACAACTTCCTTCCCAAAATTTATTTGTGTTTTTCCCTCCAAATAGTTCAATCCACAGTTATTTGAGTCTAGAGATATGGAATCCATAGATAGGGAAGTCTGACTATGCTTCCTAAATTGATTTACTAATTCAACTTATTCCCAATCAAAAGCTAATGTGAGCTTTAACCTATAGAAATTGGCAAAGTGTAGGCAGAAGGGTTCCATTTTGTTGGACACAGTGCTCTAACAAGGGCACACATCTCACTGACTGTCTATAGGAAGACAGGGAATTCATTCGCCATCCCCTAAGATGCAGTCTTTGCACTTTGATTTTTCCTACCCTTACAAGTTTCTCTTTTTATGAATTCTGCCTTTGATACCTTTCTTCAGTTATTGCTGGAGTCAGCAAGAGCCCTATCAGAAGGTAGAAAGTTGCTATCAGTGATTCTTTTCTTTGTTTTCTCATTGTAGGGAAACTGAACAGCCAAGACTCTTACAATAATTTTACCAACAACAACCCTGGAAACCCCCGCCTCTCTCCTCTCCCCAGCTTGATGGTCGTGATGCCGCTGGCACAGATCAAGCAGCCAATGACCCTGGGTACCATCACCAAACGGACGGGGTAAGGCACCTGACTCAGAGCTATTTCACAGCTGCCTCAGACGGTTGAAAGGATAAAAATAAAACATGCTTTTTCTTTGTGTGGTTTTGATTATGTTCTTTGTTTCCAGCCCATATGAGATGTCATGGAAGCAGATTAAGTACAAAGTATAGGACGTGCACAAACATCCTCACACACAAGCCATGTACACACACAGCCATGGAAAAAACAAAGTGGTGACAAGTTGTGAAAACGGGGCCTGGCTAATAGAAACCAGACCCATCTCCGTAGTCCTATGCTTGCTGCTTTGTGGCATTGCCTCATGATACCATTTGATTTTCTTCAATTTTGTGGACATGGTTGAGATTGCAAATGAGTCCCAATTTTTGCCATATCTAGTAAGGAGAACACTTGCATCTGTGTTTCTAGCATTTTTTGAAAATTATATGCATTGAAGTTTAATTTGCATATAATCTGTCAGTGTCAAAACAGGGTGATGATACAATTTTCAAAGCCTGTAGTGTTCTAAGGTTTGTGCTTTTTTTCCCTGCAGGATTACTCTTTAGTATCCTTAAAGACTCTTAAGTAGTTATTTAATTTCTTTGTGCTTACTTTAGCCATTTAAAGTGTTTGGGGCCGGAGAGATGACTCAGTGGAATAAGCGCTTCCCTGGCAAGCGTGAGGGCCTGAATTCAATCCCTGGTTCTGCTAAAAATAAATAAAAAATAAAGTGTTAGTACCTGTTAGGAATATCAGATTATTTCTTTGGGCTTCTGAAAATAAACTCATATATTTGTAATATCATTGGGGAGATAGTTGCATAGTAGCATGAAAAATACATTTGATCCTTTAAAATAGGCAAATTATTAGTTGTCCTAATGAGAAACTCTAAAGATTAATAGGGTTGAGTTAGGAAAAATTCTGTATTAAAATACTAAGAAGAAAACTGCTATTGCCTTCAAAGATACCTCAGGGTATTTCTAGTCCAAAGAAGAGATTATTTTGCTGCTATATTAATATTTCTTAATATTGATTTACTAATGTTAAAGTGTTTAACATTTAAGAAATCATTTCTTTTTCTTTTTTTTTTTTGGAAGAACCGGGGATTGAACTCAGGCCCTTGTGCTTGCCAGGGAAGCGCTTATTCCACCGAGCTGTCTCCCTGGCCCTTAAGAAGTCATTTCTGTGAGAAGGACTCTGTGTTCACAGGAGTGAGTCCTTTGAGGTGTAGAATCACTGGAGCAGAAGTTACCTCTCCTCACACTAGATGTAATGATATTGGGATAGAAAGCGATCTTACTGCTGTTCACAGAAATACAGTTGGGTTTGTGACACAGCAAGGAAAACTGAAGGAAAGTCCGGCGCACGTCATTTGGCCTGTATAGCTTCTAATTCCAACTCTTTATGTTCAGTGGACATATGCTTTTAGATAGAATTTTGACATTTATTCTGTTTAGTTTTGACTTTTAAAGTAGGTTAAGAGTAGATATGAATAGTCAAAAAGTGATGTCCTTATTTTCATAGTTAACTTATCTTTTCCTGTTTTGATACCACATTCTCTGGATATAGATTTAAATATAAATAGGACTAAAATTTTGAAACTCCTTTTTCACTTGCCGAAGGCAGCCAGTACATAATTATATCTTCTCAATTCACCTCAGTATTGCACAGTTCTACAGATACTTAGGAATTTGTGCATGTCTTTTTTGAGCCTAACTGACAGCATCGCCAGTGTTTAATTCTACACACAGAGTGAGGGGACTATAATCAGATAGTTTAGAAGTTTCCTGGAGACACGAAAGTATATTCTCATATTTTATTTATTGTTGTTACTATTTTAAACAAAAGAGCTATGCTGTCTTGTAATCCAAAGAATTAGCTATCTTTCTCTAATAATTTTCCCCCAAATGGCTCAGAGATTATGACTATAGTTCTATATATAAAATGATGTAATGTTAGAATTTAACTTAAAACCTGTGGGCAGGTTTGTGAAATGTTTACTGTTGAATAGATTTGAAATTTTCTATAAGAAAGAGAAGAGAATTTCCGAGTCTTTTCTTCTGTCTCACTCCCCTCTCTCTCTTCACTGCACCGAGATGGGTAGAAGTCTTAATCATCTGTTGTTTTCTTGTGTTGCCAGAGTTTGTAAGCCAGATAAATTCTATGTCCTTTGCTTTCTAAAAACTTGCTAGAAATTCTCAGATTTTTAGAGAATACATACTGGGCGTCCTCATATATAATTTAATACTTAGTAATGAATGAAATATTAAGAATTTAAGTGCTTTGAAGTTAGAATTAGTGTAAAGTATTTGTAGCATATTGTTGGGTGGGCTTTGTACCTCCTTTTTGTTTGTTTGTTTGTTTGTTTGTTTGTTTGTTTTTGGCTGAACTGGGGATTGAACTCTCAGGCCATTGCGCTTGCCAGGGAAGCGCTTTTTCCACTGAGCCATGTCCCTGGCTCGGTACCTCCATTTTCAAATTATTTTATTTCTACTAAGTTTTAAAATTTCTTTTATCATGTCATGTATTCTTGTGTTCAGAGTGAGTAATTCATACTTGTCCTACTTAAATTTTTTTGAAATAATTTCAGGCCTTTAAAAGTATTGCAAATGAATTTTTGTATCCCACATCTTAGTATTTTTGACTTATTTGCTTTATTATTCAGATTATCTCACTGTGTGTATGCACTGACATGCCTTTTTTACTTTGATGTATGTTGCAAATGTATTATCCCCCTTTTCCTACATCCTTCAGTGTACAATATCTGAAGGCAAGGGTATTCCTTTACAGAGCCACAGTTACCATAAAAGATTTAAAATTAATTGTTTTCCTTTTTTTTTGTATTTTAGTACAGGGCTTACAGGGCTTCACTACATAAAATTGAACTCTTAGTGATCCTCCTGTTTTCAGCCTTCCAGGAGCTGGGGTGGGGGAGAGAGAGAGAGAGAGAGAGAGAGAGAGAGAGAGA